AAGAAGATTGTCGAGACCTTGGGGGAATATTCGCTCCATAAGATGCACAGACATTTTTGCCCGCCTTTTGGGGGGGAAAAAAGTGCGTCTTATGGATCGAAAAATACGGTATTTTCCGGTATAACCCACAACACCTCTCACCATTTAAGTCTCCTTGATGGCCCTATGGTCTCCAATAGGAAGGTCAAGGAGAGATGGAGATAGACACGATTAACAGATCAAGATTTCATCATTCCAGTTGTCTCCATCTCTGGATTAACTCATTAACTCATTATAGGCACAGGTTGAATTGACCAGGTTTGTGCCAGATTTACAAGAGGGTGGACTCAGCCATCAAATTATTCTGGGTGTCAGCTAATGTATTTGTTAGTAGTTTTCTAGCTTCAACAATTGCTGATAGGTTGTATTTAGTGGTAAACGGCTGTGCCAATGACAACTGTAGAAAATACTTTTAATTATGTCATCATTGATCTTTTATATCATTTCTATGGTCACATATACTACCAAAATAGTGCCAAACTGATATTTAATGGGAATTTTTAGGTGCTACAATGATATACCATGTGTACTTTTTGTATTCAAAAAAATACTTTTTTTTATACATAGTTAAAATTCTTTGAAAACAAACAAACATAAATAGAAAAAGCTATAGCTGTGATCATAGTGCTGTGGCCACCTAATCTGCTGTTGAGGGTCTGCCTCGGACCCCAAGGGACCCAGCAGCAGCAGTAACTCAGTGACTGCTGCTCCTTCTACGGACCAGCGCTCATTGTACCGCATGATGGGATTATTCCGTCACCAGTTGTTAATGAACTAAACACGTCTGACGGTATAATCTTGTCATTGGCCGGGAAGGGGTTAAATATCTGCTTGGCCGTATTTTGGCAGTATACATGTTTGGGGATGTGGTGTGTTGACCCAGTGGTCTGGTCCATAGGCACATTTACTGTTGATGTGTGTACATCCACCCTTCTCAAAACAGAACATGACGGAGCACAGTACACCTAATCATGACAGACTTACAACACTGAAAAATACTGTACTTGCCTGTATCATAAAAGACGCTTGTCAGTAAACAGTAGGGATGAGCTCAGGTTTGGACCAAAAAGAGGGACAATTGAGGAGGAAAGAGGGACAAAGAAATTTGGTCCCAAATGAGGACGAGTCCCTACAAATCAGGGACAGTTGGAAGGTATATATAAATTGATTGTCTGATTGATTGTCTAAAAAGATGTCTGAATTTTCCATTTATAACATGAGATTAAGTGGACTTTCTCACCTACAGGAAGCTGAAATCATTAGTCCTTTCCTGCTTTACTTTAATCCCGAGCTAATCTTCAGAAAACTGCAGGTGAGTCCCAAGTGTGTGAACAGGATGGCTGTTTGAAAGAGCAAAAAAATTCCTGTATCAAGTTCAAACCTGTCTCCATATTTGGTTGCTTTATCAACAGATTCAGGTTGTTCTTAGAAGTGACACTTTTACAAAGTGGTGCTTTGGCACAGAGCCGTAGCTAGCTCCTTTTGCGCCCGCAGCAAGAACAAAAAAATGTGTGTGTGTCCCCAACAGGTGCGTGGCGTCATGTGACGTCATGCGCCCCGCCTCCAGAATGTTTTTTACATTTTTTTTTTTACTGTTGGTAGCTTCGGGGAGCTTTAAGGGGTCTACACAGCCCCTTAATATTTCCCTTTTAAAATAGAAAAAGAAATTGAGGACACAAAGTCCTCAATCTAATTTTTTGCAGCCTTTGTTCTAAATGAATGGAAAGCACTCAGTACAGAGGCTTCCCATTCATTCAGAAAATATTTACTATCAACCAGTTTCTGAATGGGGAGAAGCCTCTGTACTGAGTGCTACTACCCATTCAGAAACTCATGAATGAACAGGAAGTGATATAAAGCACTTCCTGTTCATTCAGAACTGAGCACACATAGTACTATGTGTCCCCAGTTATTTACAAACACCGGAGTGATCAACTGTTCACTCCAGTGTTTGTTCTGCAGAAAGAGGATCGGTAAATATCACAGATATTTACCGATCCTCCTCTCTCCATCCTGAGCTGCTCGGCCATGCACAGAGGGGCGGCACAACCTGCAGCTTCTTCTCGGATAGCTGCTGCTCTCCCCGCCTGTATGGGCAAAGGCAGCGGGGATCTGAGAAGTTAAGCACTGAAGCCGGCAGGGGGTTAAGGACTTCTAGCAACCAATTACTGACAGTGGGCGGAGCCTGATGGGGAAGCCGACGGACTTTGTCCCCATCAAGTCCCCTCTGCTAGTGATTTACAGCAGGTAGTGGGTGGACTGCATAGCCAATAGTAGGCTGCCTATTGGCTATGGCATCTGCCCACTGCCTGCTGTCAATCAGGCCTAATGGGGAACTAGCCCCTCTGGTTTACCATTTAATTACCCCACTAATAAAGCTCCTCCATTGCTGTGCCACTGTGAGATAGGTGCAGTGGTCATGGGAGATGGAGTGCCTGGTATGGACGCTAAAGAATGTCTGTTTATGAAATACAGGGCTAGTGTTTTAGATGGAATTACACCTAAAGCGAAACACCATAGATATAAATGAACGCTGATTAATGCAGTGATGTGTTCTCTAAAAATCCTTGTATGCTGCATACACATGTGCTGCAAAGGAACATGCTAACGGGATGAGAAAGCAGATTGAGAACAGGGGTGAGCTCATCAGTGTGCTGCTGCTCCATAATTGTTTGATCACAGGATGGGGGCTGAGAGATGACCTAGTTGTATAGATTAACTTCAGTAGAGAACAGTCAGCTCACCAACATAGCTGTGTTGTCTAGCAGAAAATGTTCAGCTTTGCCTGCAGCATGCATCATTTTGAAACATATGCCAGCATATTGTTAACAGAGGGCTCCCGTGTGAGCAATGGATTCAGATAAACAATGTGGTTTAAGATAAACTCCGGCACTATTATTTTAAAATGTTTTTATATGTTATCACATTTAAACCTCTTTTTTTTAACTTGCACAACATAAAAAATAAACGATCTGATAGTTTTCTGTGTTAGTATAGCATGTGCTGTACTTCCACCACAGGCCAACACCAGCACAGCAGTTGTGATTGACGCTTGCACTGGTGTCAGTCCTGCGCTCTGCCAATTCAAAAAATCATGGCTGCAGTGTCATCACATGTTGCTTTTGTGAATGGGCATGGCGCACACAGGGGAAGAGACACAACACCGCATTAGTGCCAATCATATGCAGCACAGGTATCGGCAAGGGGCGGAAGTACAGCACATGCTGTAGTAACACACAATGATCAGATTGATTTGGTGTTGTCAGAGTTTAAAAAAAAAAAAAAAAAGGTACACCGCAGAGGTAACACAACCATGGACACATTTACTAGTACCCTTCCAAGAAAAAATAAGAACCTGAAATTTGAAAAATGTGAAACTGAGAAAAGCAATTGGCCTCCATCATTGTTTATTCCATATTTAGTAAAAATCAGTTATTGCTTTTCATTTATTTTTGATTTAACAGAGTATTTTAAATAATAAAACAAATGAAAATGACAGCAACAAAAAGAGATTTTGGTTCATGCCACAGTTTCAAGGTGCAGCAAAGCAGCCCCAAAACACAACCTTCTCTCCCCCATGTTTCACAGTAGGTATGGTGTTTTTGCCTGTGAACAAAGAGCTAATTTAAGCTGAGTTCAGTAGACCACCTTTTCTGCCTGAGCCCATTGTTCACATTGGAGTCCTTTGTTAGCAAGGTGAGCTGTTTTGGTTGCCAAATGATTTGTAATTCTATTCATCTAGCCCTGAGATTTACACAGCCTTGCTAAACAGCACAGCCAGGTTGGTGACCTGACTTTTCTCTGTTGCAGTTAATCAATACAACTAGGTCATCTCCCTGTTCCCAACCTGTGATTAGACAGTTATGGGGCAGCAGCAGCAGACTGGTGAGCTCACCCCATGTGCTTTTTTATTTTTTTTTGTTATGCTGTTAGTTGCACACTGTAGATGTAATTCACCAAAACACAGGGCTGTCCCTATAATGAAGCAGTCTCAGATGGCATCTCATGGGGGAAGGGGGGCAGCAGAGGGGTGGCCACAGTGTCCCAGGTTGCTAAGAGCTCTTAGCAACCTGTGATGCTCTGTCCTGCTTCCTCCCCAGCTCACTGATGTCATTGGTTGCCAGAGAGTTGGCTGGCATACTGCTAAGCTCCTGGCAACCAGTGACATCAGTGAGCTGGGTGGGACTGGACAGAGAGCCGCTTACAGCACAGCTCTAACATAGCCGCCCATCTCACCGCATCTACTGCAAAACACACCAACCAGCGCTATCAGCAGCATCCGTGGCCCCCCACAGCACTATCAGAAGCACCTTCCAACCCACACCCCACTCTACTGCCTCAGGCAGCATATAGGGTAGGGAACATATTTCAATGATGGTGCCTGGAGTTCAGTTTTAGCTATATCATGTAAGGTTCAGTAATAAGAATCGTTGTGAACAAGGTCTAATTATAAAAACATATGTTCATCACATTACACTGTTATTACCTCATCCTTTGTCATCTTCTACAGAGTGTATACAATGTGTAGAAACTAAAACATCTTTCAAGTATATTGTATAATAATATTCAAGAGCTGACATCTGGCAGTTGGTTTCTTCCCTTTTATCCCCAGAATAATTTTCAATAATTTAACAACCAGTGTACAAATATTAGTATTTATTCTGCTTGCACAAACCAACCATGTCCTCTGTTTCTCCTACAGATATGGAGACTAATAACCAACTTTCTATATTTCGGGCATCTGGGCTTCAGTTTCTTCTTTAACATCATTTTTATGTATCCTTTTGGCAGTGCTGAACAATTTACATTCCAGCTAAACCCAACATTATAAATGGAATGCTGAATGGATTTCATATGCACACTTTATATACAGTAGAAACTAAGCACACATTAGTCCAAATGGTTCACTTGGACAGCTCTTCCATCATGGACTGTTTAACTGAGTGCTGCTGAAAGGATTGCTATATCACCACTAGACTTTGATGTAATAAAATGTAAATGTGTCATATCTTTATCAAGCAAAAGTAAAACTGGAGAATGACCTTGTATAACTTGAACTGATATACAGTATAAAGCTGATACATGGCCCAGTATTTATTCAGTCACACTGCATACTAAAATAGGTTCACAAATGTCTGCAGTCCTGTCACCAAAACCACGTTTGAGATAATCCAACTAGTTTTGGGATGACACATGCTTCATCTGTATTTGGGAAAGCACAGGGTATCCATTAGACATGTGCACTGCCAAAAAATTCGTTTAGTTTCGTTTCGTTTTAAATTCGGATTTGTGTTATTTCGTTTTTCAGGATTCGGGTGTGAAAGTCAATTCGGATTCAGACGAAATTCGGTAGCGTTAGTACGAACGTTCGTTTCGTTTTCTGTTCTTATTCGTTTCTTATTCGTTCGTTTGCAGCAAAGTGACATTTGAGGGGGAAAAAATATTTTTCTCCTTCTCTAATGTCAATTTGCTCCAACGAACGAAACGAATAAGAAACGAATAAGAACAGAAAACGAAACGAACGTTCGTACTAACGCTACCGAATTTCGGAAATGGAAATTCGGATTCGTTTGCATTCGTTATGTCTGTAATTCAGAATTCGGATACATCCGAATGTCCGAATTTCCGAAAATTCGTCCGAATTTCGATTCGGAACGAAACGAATTGCACATGTCTAGTATCCATAGACATTAAAAAGTGGGCAAAACTATGACTGCAACATAGTTGTTTTACAGAATGATTATGACATAAACATGTATGGACAATTAATAATTCCTTCAAAACTGAATGGCCTGTGGATATACTGTATACACAGGTTGTGGGTAGCCCATAAACATACTAAAGTATTTCCACTGTTATCAATCAGTGAGTTGTCTGTGGGTAACTTAAGTGGTTAGTACTCTTGCCTTGAATAGCTGGAGGTCTGAGTTCTATTCCCAACAGTGACACGAACTACAGCAGCGTTATCTGTTCTTCCTGTGTATGTGAAGATTTCCTCCCAAAAACACATAGCTAGTCTAGTTGCCATTTAACTACATTGAATGTGTATGTGAGGTTATATTCATGTATGATGCAGGCATTAAATATGGTTTTGACTGATTTAAGAAGTTGTAGGTATGTAAAGTGTATGGTAACCCCAAACAATGACCTTCTCTTATTTGCTTCCTTTTGGACTGCTAAATATACTATTGGGAGTTTTTTTTATATTAGTTCTAAAAATAATGTCAAAAATACCTGTTGATTTTGCCAGAAATCTTAAAAGCTGATAACTTTGTGTGCTTTCTGCTAGTGAACAAGGAGGGGCTATAGAGATGAGAAGATGGGAGGGGATGAAAAGAGGTCTGTATTCTTTGAAACCCACCAGAAATGAAGTAGGCAGTGCTGATACCATGTGCTTAGTCAAGTCAAATGTGTTGGTATTGTTGAGCTTTACAATTGCAAACTTCATATCTGAACTACTTGCGATCTTTCAGTAGCTTGGATGCGGCTCTTGTTGACTTGCAGTGTTTTGTTTAGTGTCTGGGCCCATAACCTGTTGACTATGGGTTCAGATGAAGCACTGAGATCTTGAGGAATGCTGAATTAAGTTTTACTTGCGGGGAGGTGGAGCCTATCTAAGATGGCGGAGGGCCGCGATACACACAGTTCCCATGAAAAGGAAGGTGCACACAGATTTTGAGTAAGGGAAGGCACACACAGTTCCCATGTACACTATTCGGGTAAGGGGATAGCCCTCCGAAGGGAGGATAAAGGGGGGGGAAGGAGGGATACATAGTATAAGGATAGTTAGTTTGAGCACATAACACCAGGACCCTCTGAAGCACAAGGGGTCCGGGAATGAGGTGGAGGGGTACAAAGAACGGGATTTAAAAAAAAAAAAAGTTTTACTTGCTTAGAAAAATGTTACATGTATGTATACAGCATTGTGCAGGAAACATAGAGAGAGAGAAAAAACAGCTTCCTGTGTATCATAGATAAGCATGCACATAGAGAGTAATATTGCACTACAACGCCAGTGACAGCTCAAAAGACATATTAAATCTCAGAACATTATTATATCTGTACAGTATGTGCTGTTGTATTTCCAACAAAAGGAAGGAATGAACACTCTATATTTTTGGCACATTAACGGTTGTTTTTCAGTACTTGCAGCGTAATTAAAGGGAAAAAACATGGGGAAATATGCATTTATTGTAGAGACGTAATAAAAAATGTTTTGTTTTGCCTTGACTTATGCATTAAAGTGACACTAAACGTAGGAGTTAAATTTGCATTCAAGAACTATGTAAATTTGATAGATAGATCTTAAAGGAAACCTGTTATAAATTGTAAGCTCTCATGATGTCAGGAGTGCCACTGGCTTGGCAGGAACGGAGTGGAACTCACTGGCAGAAAACCGCTGAGAGCGTCCAAAGGCCAAGGTACAAAAGGGATAATCCAAAGAGAAGTCAAGTCCAATCTGAGTCGAGGCAGGCAGCAAGGGTTCAGGGGCGAAAAGACAGTCCAGGGTTGGCAACAGGGGGTCCAGATAAAGGGTCAGGAAGCAAAGCAGGGTGCACAGATGGGGAGCTAGGTAATCACACCATATGGTGGAATAACTCAGCAACAAGCCAGAGCTCTGGCCAGGTTTTTATAGCCAGGGGGTGTAAGACCACCCCCTGGTCACCGAGGCAACCAGGAGGCTTCCTTCCCCGGGAGCCAATGGCAGGAGGGAAAAGTGGAAGGTGTGTGCTGGGAACCTCCCCCAGCAAGGCCCACACCTGAGGGCCCTAATGGCGCAGGCGTGCTATGCCCTCGTTTACGGAACTGCGTGCGCAGCCTGAGTACTGCTCACACGCGACCGCCGCACGATTCGCACGTGCACACCTGCAACCCGGGCATCGGGAATTTTGGCAGACTGGAGGGGAACCTGTGCCCTGCTCCATACCCGTTGACCCCATGGAGTGGTACTACCCCCTGCTTCCTGACACATGAGCACCTATTGTACTGAAATTGTATTGTAACTGTACTGCCTCCCCCATTTTGGAGAGTGCTGTGCAAACTGTTGGTATTATATAAACTCTGTATAATAATAATAATAATATTGGCATTATGTTGGCTTTCATTATTGATCTAGCCTTTTCAATATGCTAACATCATGGCTTTAATGCCAATTCAGTGGCTTTAGCAATTCACCCCCCAAAAATTAGTTCTGAATTGGCAAAATACAACCAGATAACTAACATTTCCATAGGGATCAGCAATAGCAGTCTGCATATTTCTGTCTGTACAGGTTTTCATTAAAGGATGCGTTAATGACCGCCTCCCTATATGTGCCCCTTGCCCTCTTTTTCAGAAATACAGTATATCGGAAAAGGCAGACTTTAGGTCAGACTGACCTCCCTCGAAAATGCTTGCCTGTGCTTGTGCAAGCAGTATATTTCTAATCCATGCCATATTATTATTGAATACAATAATATTGAACAGTACAAGTTCCAAATAGTGTTACAGGCGTTCAAACTTGATTTTCTCAAAGAAGCCAGTTTTTGGTGATTGTGCAAATCCTTCTGTTTTTAGTTTCCTTTACAGGTAGTGGTTGCCTCCAGGTACAGATATTGCAAAATGCTAGAAGAAACCTCATTTAGGGGGCGTACTGCAGATTTTGTATTCATGTTTCTTTTTGGAGGATTCCTCATTACTGTATCCTTTAAATTTGTAATGTGCAATACCATGTTTCTTCTTCAAATGGCACAACATGTAAAATCTGAAATTGCATCCCCCAGTTTTACTAAAAGGTGTCAGTGAGGTGATATTTGCCTTTGTTTTGTAAAACTCTAATTGAAACCTGAGAAATAAGGAGGCTTCCACTGCTGGCCTTCTTAACATGCCTGTGTCTATCAGTTGCTAGGCTGTCATGCTTATCCAGTGGGTTTAATACATTTGTAGCGCTCACCCCCAAAGGAGCCGCTGAATATGAACTTGGGCTCTCCTACCTGTTTTGCCAGCCACCGGCCCCTTTCTCAGATCTAGCAACACCGACACCCCGGAACAGAACAGGCTCGAGTCATAGGGTCTTTTCAGTATTTATTTGCACAGGATCAACTAGGAGAGAAGAAGGTTTGGGATTGTAGGATACCCGGATAGTAATTCAGAGGACTCTGTATTCTCCCGTAGCAACGGCTAAAATTGGTAGCACAGTGGTCCTTTAAGAGCGACCAGTAATAGAAATAGCACAGAGGACAGCCAGGATAGTCCAGGACCTTGAGAGAGACCTATCTCTAGACTTCTTATGCAACAACTGGCTGCTATTTAGTAAAGCACCTGGGAATAGGGTGAGGGATCTCTTACAGGGTTCCAGACGGTAGCTCTCACCAGCTCCTCTGCGACACTCCTCAATAAATAGATTCCACCTCCAGCCCAGCTTCCATCAGGTTTTCTTTCAGCTTCATCTGAAGTCTCTGGGCCCTCAGCATCTGCCACTTGCTGAGGTGCATACCAGATATCCAGAAGTATCTTCTGCTTCTAGGCCCCCAACACCTGCTACGTGCTGAGGCCCAAGCCAGTCACTTGCACCACACAGGCCTCCTCCCTTGGAGGCCCCTGGGGTGGAGAGAGCTCTGCAAAGTGTCCCCAAACCTTTTATCACCTGACCTCAGCCATACCTCGGAGTCATCCTGCTCAGGGATTGGCTAGGGTCAGGTGCACATTCACAGTCTGAGGATGGATCCTCCCTCACTGTATGCTGAGTCCCCAACCCAGCAACAGGGGGAGCAATCAATCCAGCAAACCCAGGGAAACCTGCAAAACCCAGAACTCAGAACAAAACAGCATCTATTCTAGACTGATTACAGTCTAGATATACACTAAATTTGATAGCAACATACTAGAGGGCGCTACACATTCAATCACTGACCAAGAACAAGTATACACATCAGTGCTCATAAGGCATTGAAGCCAGACATCTAACATGTGCTATGCTATTACAGTGTAATAAGGTGACTCTAGCTACAGCTACTGTTAGATGGGATACATTGGATATTAATAAGTTTCCAGCACTGGTGAACAAGACAAAAAACAAGAATTCCTCTTCATTCAGGCCTGTTAGCATATAAGAAAAATCTACTTAAAACCAATTCTTTAGTAAAACTGAAGTCTCACTTATATTTGGAAATTATAAAAAAAAATCCAGACCCCATCATCTAGTTACATCTGTATACTGCTCTAATGAATGGTAGAAATTGATTGACCACTTACCATTTCTATCTGTTACAATAGCTAAAGGTCTGCCTGTTCCAGCCCTAATAGGAACTCTTTTGGTTTAACATATCTGTGCATTGAAAGTAGTTGAATTCTGCAACATGGTATGTTACCACAAGTAGAGTATCACTGATGAAAACATGACAATACAGAGAACATCTATGGTGATTTCACGTCTGTATATAGCTGTTCTATGCTTCCTTAACATAAACTAGCTTTTTGGTCTTTTTTTCAGCCTCTCTTTCCTTAGCCAAGCCTTTACCCTTATGTTAGTGTATGTCTGGTGCCGCAGAAATCCTTTCATTCGAATTAGTGCCTTTGGCCTGGTCACACTTCAGGCTCCGTTTCTGCCCTGGGTTCTTTTGTGTTTCTCTTTGCTAATAGGAGACTCCATCCTTGTTGACTTGCTGGGTTAAGATGTATTGCATAAACAATTACAACAGAAGGGTCAGTAGTTTTATGCATACTTTATTGTGGGCAGGATTAGAGTGAGAGAGTGAAGAGGGATTAGAACCCCAATCAGGTTTTTATGGCTGTCTGTGTCCTCGTTTGGAAAATTCATTCTCAGAAGGTGAAAGCAAAAGAAAATCACGAGTTTTGGGTTGGCACCAGAACAGAAATATATCGGAAATCTTCCTATGGGGACAGTAGTTCTGGTGACCCTGCTGACCACCAGGGATTTCCTACACTTTGGAGGGATTTCCTACCACTGCCTGTTGGAAGTGAAGGGAACTCTCTCTAATGGGACACAGACCAAAAACAAAGTTTTGGCTTTAGTTCTACTTTAACCTCTTCTGTCACAGCCTTTTGCAATCTTTGCACTAGATAGTCCAACACATCTGACAGCCAAAGCAGAAGTAGGTAGTCTAAAAGAGGAGACCTCACGGTAGGTGTGCTAGAGCCTTGGTTCTCAACTGGTGGGTCGCGACCCTGTGTTCAGTGGGTCACGGGCATGCCTTCCACTTTTCCATGGCGAGAGGCTTCTCAACCTTCTCCTAGAGCAGCATTATCAGTTCTATCTCCACACGGCCATTCAAAATATGCTGCCCGGCGTCGAGTTTCAGATTGAGGTGGGGTGGGCAGGGAGTATGGCCACGAGGGAGCTCCACCCATACGTGTATTGCTTACATCTCCCTCACGTGTCCTGTAGACATGCCTGGACTGGAGTGACGTCACATTCTGTCTCCCGGCACCTCTACAGGGTGTGCAAGGGAGCTGTATAAGCAATGCACATATGGATGGAGCTCCGTGACAGTACAGCAGCCCACACTGGACCCCAGCTTGAGGATCCGCTCCAGTTCTCAGAAGGTAGGGAGACTGGGTGGATCTTAAAGATTTTTTTACATTGTCTGTGTGTGAGATTTTGTCTGTGGTTGTGTATGTATGTCAGTGTTTTTGAGGGCCCATTCACACTAGTACCGTGCGATGAACACACGTGCATGCAATCTCACCTACCGTGCATTCTGGTGTGGGAGGTGTGTTGCGTTGCCATTCATTTGATGGGTACCCCAAACGCACCTCCCGCCCACAGTTCGTACGCCCGCATTGTAATGCGCGGCACCCAATGCCGTGCATTCCATTGCAGTGCGACTTGGGTACACATGAATTCATGTAGTGCGTTTCCAAGGATTATGACACCAACATTGAAATAAGTTGTCATTTTAAGACCAATCTAGGCATTGTACTTATTACTCATTTTTGAATGTCCTCCTTTCCAGGCATTGCAGCTGGACATATTTACTTTTTTCTAGAAGATGTTTTCCCAAACCAGCCTGGAGGAAAAAAGCTTTTAGCTACCCCTGCTATTTTGTAAGTATTAACACGAAAATGACGTGTCCTCATTCCAGCTATTTGTTTACATATAGCTTTGGCAAAACTTAAGAGGTCTATTTGCTTAAAGTTTACAGCCAGAACATCCTGTGCTTTTAAGATAATCCATGCAAAGATACAACGGATGGCACTAGGAACAAGACAGAGGTGATTAATAGACCATTTCAGTGCTAGATCACTTTCTGCTTCAGTGTCAGCACACATGGGAGACCTGGTATATAAAAAAAAACTGCCCACGTAATAAGGACAGATACATTATAGGGTTACTGTCTGTGTGCTGAGAATTCACGTAGATAAACTCCAACTAATAACAGCATTACAAGGCTTTTGAAGGAACGGTATGCTAGGACAAATATATGGACTACTATTGCTTCTTTTAACAACAACAAAAAAACTGAATTACTGGGACAACTATGCAGCCTGTAGATATACAAAGTGGTACATCACAATGTGATTCAATGACATTACATATGGTTTATTCAGTAATTAACAGATGTTCACAATTTGAATAGACAGCTTTTGGGCCTGGAGATTGGAAAACTAACACCTACCTGTAGGGGTGGACAGCTCTAATAGAATCCTAAATATTAGTTGTAGGGAGACTAAATCTATCCTAATTAGGGATGCACCGATACCAAGTACCGTACTCGGTACAAGTACATGTATAGATACTTTTCCAGCTCCAAGACTAGTCTAGAGAAATTCAAAAGTTAGGAGGCAGCTGTCATTTGTAAGGCGCACACGGAGCTCCTGGCATTTGTGCATCTCTGTTTTAATGTATGATTTTGTTCTTGTAAACATATATAAAAGGGATGCACCATTTTTGCAAGTACAAGTACTGATACTTGTCCAAGTACTCACAGATACAAGTACTGATACATTTTTGTTTATTGTCATGTGACAGTTTTTCTAAAACAATACAGACTAATGATTTCAGGACAGTGATGGAGCACCAGAGGCAGGTCCCAGCTGCAACCCTGATAGTGGTCATAAAAATGCCAAGTATCGGCACTGGTATCGGTGCATCCCTAATCCTAATAGTACATCTTATGAGCCATATGCACAGAACCCTTTAGGGACCATCACAATGCTTATATGGGGCTTCCTCATGGCAGACATGTAAACTTGTTGCAATTTGGCTGATGCTGGAAATCCTAAACTCGACCCCGCCATCAGAACTGGCTAGTTTATATAACCTATGGCTACTTCAAGACACAAGACCCTCTTCTCCCAGCAGATGAAATTACACATCCAAAAGGTGATAATTCAATACCATATCTTTCCTCTACAAACTAACTGTAGACTGTATTCAAAAGACATGGTGTTCTCCTGCTAACATGGTAACGCAATACTGCCCAAACAGTAAAGTTTTTCTCTGTTTTTCTCCCTTTATAGCAAATAGCCAAACTTCTTTTTTTTTTGTACATATTTTATGCACTGCCCATATAGAGATATTACATTTAAATGTCTTCTGTATACTAAACTAAGAATGTATACTCCTGGAGAGAGGTGCATTGTGTTACCCAGTGTCCTCATTAAATGCTCGGTGTAATTTCCTGGTAATATGTATTAAATTGCATTATGTGACTGGAATTGCACGCTCATTAGGGTAAATGTGTAGAAGTTATTGTATTTGCTAGATGGAAGTATGTGGTTGCCTAGCAGTCCGGTAAGCTGACAAATTGCAGGTGGTGGAAAGCTTCATAACATCGTCTGGCTGGTGTGTAGGTAGTGGTGAGAAATAGGATTTTTTACTTACCAGTAAAATGCATTTCTTAGGTACAGTACAGGACAAACTGATTCAGGGATGACTTGGTTATATGCAGGTATCACCGGGTGACTGGACACTGGCCTGAGCTGTGAGGACCCTCAGATAACCCCTCCTTCTCCAGAAAATCCTCAGTTTTATAGCAAGCAATAGGGGACATAGAAGGAAGTGTGCTATGTCCTGTACTGTGTTACAAGAAACAGATTTGACTGATTAAATCAAAATTCCTATTCTGGTACTTGTACAGGACTCGGGCAAATGGGAAATCCAAAAGAATGAACTGGGAAGTGGGCAACACAGCAAAACAACTGCTAACAGGCCCACATAATACAAATATCAATAAATAAAACCAAAGGGGAACCTCAGCTCAGATAGCAGATTGTAGCACCTTACAGTCAAAACTCACATCAGCAGAGAGGCACAAACAGCCGCCTGCTAGAACCTAGAGAATGTGTGTGTACAGAAAATCAGGTGGTAGCCTTACAAATCTACAACACAGATGTTTGATGACAAATGCCCAAGAGGCATTTACAGATCTAGTTAAGTGTACAGGTAACTTGTCTAATCCACCTAGAAATGGTGCAAGGTCCTTCAAGGATGTCCACATACCACACTCTTCTGGGCCAGTTTGGAGCCACAAGGAACACTGGAATACCCTTCGCCTCAATCCTGCGGAGCAGACAAGGAGGGAAAATGTAGAACAGGGAGAACTGAACTGATCCCAAAGAGTCATCAGTGCATCCACTGGGAATGCCCTGGACTGGGATACAAACCTGTCCAGTTAGTTGTGCAGCCTAGACACCAAAAGATCTACAGTCAGAGTAGCCAAAGGCAGTACATCTGAAATATTTTGGGTTGCAGTGACTGTTCCCCAGAGCAATACATATAAAGTGTTGGTGAGAAGGCAAGATAGGCACATGCAGTTACACATCCTTGATGTCCACGGAGGCAAGAAAGCCTGCCTGCTGAGCACAGGCCCTCAGCAAAACTCCATGCAGAACTTGCGGACAAGAATTTGTTTAGAGACTTCAAATCCATGATTGGAAGCACATTCCTCCCCCTCCCCCCATATGTCAGCAACTTCTGCAAGGCACAGCTCAAGCCCTCTTTCTGCTGACAGGTAGAGAATAGATTGGAAGGCAAAAAGGGGGGTAGGATTAAAAACTTCAGTTTGTAACCCTGGCAAACTATCAAGCCAACCAACAAGTCCTGGATGTCTCTGGCTCTCTGCAAAGGCCAACAGAGGTCTCCCCACTTGAGAAAGTGGGGGGCACCCCCTCAATGTGATGACGATTTGGCACTGAGTTTTGTTACTTTTGGAATCCAGGGTTTATGTTTGAACTGAGAGCCCTGATTGATCCTGGAGGCCTGAGAGGGAAGTTAGGAATTTTTCTTGGCCAAACCCGAAGAAGATTTTGCAGGAGGAACTAGACCCCTGGTAAAGCACATTGTCCCCATGTTGATAAGGACAAGGGCCTCTTCCCCATAACCCTGGCCTGATGGTTGTGGGGGCTTGTAGGAATCCGGGCACCCAGATGCCACCTTCCCTTGTAAATGAGTAAGGGGTAGTTGTTACCCCTACTCCTTCACCAAATACAGTAATACCTTGGTTTACAAGTAACTTGGTTTGAGAGTGTTTTGCAAGACAAGCAAACATTTCTGAAAAATTTTGCCGTGATATACAAGCAAATGTCTTGCAATAAGAGCAACATTTTGTAGAAAAGCGCCACCCGAATAATCTTTTTTTCCACTGTAGCAGTGCGAGCGATGAGTCTGTTTAACGACAATGCAATGTCACATTGGATAGATTCCTTGTTAAGGTTTCACGAAATGAAAAAATATTCCATTAGGTCAAGAGATAGCAGTGATTCCGTTAATGATAGTGAAAGTCGTCCTTCACAATGATCCTCCTCTCTCTTGTCCCTCTCACACCAGCCACAAAGGTACCGGTAATTGGTTTCTTTTTCTTTATATTTTGTACAGTATTATATTACAGTACAGTATTGTAATCATTTTTATATGAATATTTTTGGGTTGTGGAACGAATCATCTGAATTTCCATTATTTCCTATGGGGAAATTAGCTTTGCTATACAAGCGCTTTGGATTACAAGCATGCTTCCGGAACTAATTATGCTCGTAAACCAAGGTATTACTGTACAGTAAAATTGTAAATAAACACAACACTCCTTTAATTGAAAAAAAAAAGAGAAAAGGTTTTTGACAAGTCTTATTAAAAAAAGAAAACAAAATCCAAACGTCAGTCCGTTTGTCGAGTGATTCGGGTCCATGTTAATCACGATGGAGGACGGCAGCCGACTAGCCAAAAGAAAAAGACAAAAAAAAACAACAAAAACAGCGCCCACCATCACAACCGAACCTGACGAACTCTTGCTGCAAAAAATGACAGCTCGGACCAAATTGTCAAAAGGGGCAGAGCAAGTCATGACATCACCGGACTTGTCCCACCCCTTTGTTGACATTCAGGAGCAAGACTGTCATAACTCTGCTCCTGAATGTCAACAAAAAGCCCAAACAAATCCAGTGATGTCACGACTCTCTCCCCCTTTGTTGACATTCAGGAGCAGAGCTGTCATTTTGTGGCGAGAGTTCATTGGGAAGGGTCGTAATGGTTTTTTTCTTCTTTTGGCGAATCGGCGGCCGTGCTTCGTGATTGACGTGGATCTACATCGCTGGACAACCTGATTGACCCTGGGATTACATCAATTGCTTTTTCATTTTTAATAAAAGACTTGTCAGAAATTGTTTTTTTACAATTCAAAAAAGGAGTTTATTTACAATTCTACTGTATAAAAATAACAGCTATTGTTTACTCATTCACAAGGGTGGGGCAGCCTCTGGTTTGCCCCTTTATGAAAGGGGGCACACAGATTACTGTAAGCCCCCCTGCCTGCAGACCCCCACAACTATCGGGCCATGGTTGTGGGGAACAGGCCCTTGTCCCCATGTAGAAAGCACGTGGCCTGGTATGGTGCATGAGGGGGAGCAGACGCTTACACCCCTTTCCTGCTTTGCGCTGCTGATGCTAGGATCAAGGGTCTGGTAAGTGATTGTAAGGGGTGTATCTGAAGTATCTGGTATGAATTCGGTGTGGGGGAGCCGCATGCTGGGCTTTTTTTTTTTTCTGCAGATTGTTAAAAAAAGTCACTTTTTTTTTGAATGTCACTTTGCTGCAATGAAAATTCGTTTGCAAATATTTAACTCTTCCGAAATTAACAAAAACTTTGGATTTGTCTGAATCCCAAAACTAACGGACTTTCAGACCCCAATCCCGAAAAAACAAGAAATCCAAAATGAAGCTAAATTTTTTGCTGGCTTACATGTTTAGGAAGGACCTTAGGCTTGTGCTTGCTGGGCAAGAGTGTGCTATTACCACTTGTAACCTTCCTAATGAAGGCATGTAGGTCATCTGCAAACAGACGCTTTCCCGTCATGGGGATCAGATCCTGTCCAGACATCTTTTGCAGGCCAGTTCTGCTGATCTGTACTTAAGCCAGAGGATTTTATGCATCTACACCAAATGCAGCCCCAGCTTTCAAAAGCTGGCGCAGAGTGCCACCCAAACCATCCAGGCAGAAGTGCAGTGGCTCTGGTAAAAACCACCAGATTCTGACACACCTGCATTGAAGTCACCCCCAGCTGTTAGATAGGACCAATTAGGGCAAATAAAGCCTAAAGTCGGGTATACACGCTTCCGTTTTCTTTTTTCAACCTCCCGGCTGAACAAATAAAATAGAACACTCCATCAACGCTTACGAGCATTGATCGAGAAATCGCCTACTGTTTCCTTTGAACAGAGCTGGCAGTTCAATGGCTGCTAGCTCTGTTTGGCTGACAATTTTCCGATGTGCTCCTTTGGTCAGCTGATGGAGGGATGCCAGTCGGAAAGGTGCCAACAGTACCAACGCATCGGATTTTGGTCAGTTCATCAAGACTTGACTGCAATTTGAAGTGTGTATACCCAGCTTTAGCCTTTTCAGGTGTTTATCCAGTGGGTCTTTGAAGGATGGGATCCTCCACCAGGACAGTCAGAGATTTGTTAAGGCAAGAAATTGCTGCAATGACCTCTGGCACTGCCCACTTTTTGAAGGATAAATTCCTCCCATGGTATTGCTGCCCAAACTATTTTGGGGTCAGGGCAAGGACTCACCCACCAGCTGCTTCATGCTAAACTCCACTACCCCTCAGCTTTGCTGTTTGGAGCACATAACTCCAACTCGAGGGGATCTTCTGGGACGGTCACACCATTGTGGATACGCCACTGCCTTGGACCTGTATACACCCTGCGGCTAACCCAATGTGTTGCATCACTTGTGTCAAGGTCGGCACATACAGGTCTCATGACTTCTGTCAAGCAAAGCTGCTGCCATAGGGCTCCGATCTGATTTCTTCTTGATTGAAGAAGACGCAGAAACAAAGGTAACTTAACTACCACATACAGTACCTCCCTCAGAGTAGCAAAAAACTGAGCAACTCCTAGAGGGGTAGAGGTTACATGGGGGTCCACACAGCTCTGGCCAATATTCAATCACCTGATTATACCTGCATATTATCCAGTCATCTCTAAATCTGCTGGTGTCCAAGTGTGACCATCATGAAACTGATCACTCAAGGATTCTAACTTGCAGAATAGCTTAAGGAATTGCAGAAGTGTGTGGTAATCATTTGGCTGCTCCATAGCTCTTAGAGTGCACCAGATTCGTATTTGCCTTTATGTTCCCAGACTGCTAAATTTGTCTGAGTCTCCCTCCAGTGGTATTACAGACTGATAACTTTCACAGCACTGTTTTATTTGCCAAAAGTGAGCTCTCTTCTAGCTCCCCCTCTGAACAAGAATCGCACTCGTTATTGAGTCGCCGCGGGAAAGCTTCCTCATTATGTCAGAGGTCAGTTACTTAAAGTATTGCATATACACTCTAATTCATCCCAAAGGTGTTCCATCGGGTTGAGGTCAGGACTCTGTGCAAGCCAATAAGTTCCTCCACCCTAAACTCACTCATCCATGTCTTTATGGACCTTGCTTTGTGCACTCGTGCACAGTCATGTTGGAACAGGAAGACTAATTTGAAATAGATCAACCATTATCTGCCTTGTTTTCTCTTCCGGCTTTCAAATATCATCCACTGAACACTGTTTTCGTCTATCTGATATCTAAACTGCAAGACTGTCGCTTGTAGATTAGCCTAAGATTGATGTAGACTGTTGATTATCATTTGAGTGGCTGTCACGATCTTTGTTACACATTACCGTTTGATGATTTAATGTAACAACTGTAGACTGTTGATTGTCATTTAGTGGCTATCACGATCTCTGCTATACTCTACCGATTGATGACTTAATGTAACACTTTACCAATACTTTGTCCTTTATTTGTTATCATTCTAGTTTGTCACCATCATTCACACGTGTTATTTTTTTGGATATTTGGGGTTTGATTCTCTCATAGTTTTTTTGCTACATTTATTAAGATATTGTTATTTTTAACACCTACTTACGATCAATTTAACCCTTTGTAGGCTGTGCTAAACACGCAGCTTTCTTTCACCTATTTTTAACTGAACACCTGATTTTATTTAAACACAATTTACCTATCTTAATCACTTATTACACACTCATACCTTTAATTAATTTAACCTTTAGCGTTTGGTTACAACTTTTTCGTTCTGATAGTTTAGAGTTAGGACCGCACTATATGCAGGTGCCTTGACGTGGCTTTGCGGCTTCCACATTTTCTGCAGAAGACGTGTATCTAAGCCTCTGCTTTTAACCTTAGTGGTTAGACGGGTTTTTTCTTTGCATGCTGGCGAGTGTGCCGGGAAACTTTTTGCTGTTTTAAAAGTAGTATTAAACTCACTTTTTTTTAAAGTAATGAATCCAGATTAAACAAATATACGTTGCACAGCACAGCATTCCTTTAAATTTTTGCCCAAACACTTACAATCATCATGTTTCTGAACAGCTGCTTCCAAGTCTCAGCTCAGCTTACCTGAACCTCATGTCCATTACAAGATCACAAGGGACAGAGCAGACCCCAGCAACTGTTCATCTACTAGCTTGGAGGGAGGGAGGGAGAGGGGGCAAGGAGGAGGGGAGTAGCTTGATTTGCTGTGTCTGTGCAGAGACACAGACAAGGGTGACTGCATAGCACTCTGCTTGACAAAGGAGTCACTCTAAAAATGGAAGTCAGGACTAGTGCTCAGGGGACCAGCTGATTCTACAGGAAACTACACATTTCCAATCATCAAGGAGCAGCATTCATTGTAAGTGATTTCATCAGCATTTAAAATCCTTTTGACTTTAATATCACTTTAATTATAATCGGAGACTTTGGACCAGGGAAATGTTTTGCAGACCACTATCCAACTTAATTTTGCTGATTTCCTCTGTCCCAAGTGTTTTTGTTGTGTGTGAGAGTGAGAGAGCATATTAGTCAGTACTTTGAGACAGAGTATATGGGTCAGTAATGCAAGACTGAGAAAGGCAGAAAAAACAGGGCAGTGGCAGCCAGGATCTGTCTGTTAATCTGTGTAAATATGTCAGTAAAACAAGAATGGGAAATACCAATCGGCATGATGACCAACTGTAGTTCTGAATGACACGTAACGTTCAGCTGGCTACTAGATGTCTGAGATTTGTCCAGGCCGGCTCTTAGAGACAGTAGAAACTTCTAGTACAAAAGCCAAAATGTTTGCAAAATTTTTAGACATGAAATCATGCAGAATCCTCTTCTCGATCTTGATGTACAAAAGCATTGCAATCATTGTATTTTTTAGTAATGATCAATTCTTACTCGCCATCTTTTATCTCCGTGCTCTACAGGAAGCAAATATTTGATGTGCCATTAGCAGATCCCAACTATAATCCACTACCAGAGGATATTGTAAACAGATTGCACCAAGACCAGCCACCTCCAGAGGCCCAGGACTGAAATTATCTGCTTAATAAGTTTAGGTTTTCAGTACTAAAACAATATGTAATGCAACCTAAAATAATAAAAGCCATGTTCACTGCCATTTTAGTAAAATCCTAGATAACATTCAGCTGGTGCAGAAAACGTTTTAGCAGTTGTTTCATCTCATCTCCATTCAGAGAATATTTGACTATAGTCTTACCTTTACAAGCAGGTCATTCAGACATCATAAGGCAAGTGGACAGATACAACGGTACATCTTCACAGTGAATATAAGACAAATATTGGACTGAGCTATGGAAGCATCAATATGTATTAAGCATAACATTACACTCAAACAAGGCAAGTTAATGAGCATTACTTTTATTTAAAAACTTTTTCTTTTCTAAGTGCATGAAGCACCTATACAAATTAAAAATAGAACACAAAAAAGCTTTACATATCACGTACACAGGTATAAAGGAGGGCTTGGGACATCTGTCTCAGGTCTTCCGGTAGTCAGGTAGCACTAATGCTTCACACTCTGTACATGGAAGGAAAGGATGTGAGGGAGTCAAACACAGCAGCACCCAGCTGCTTTCAAAGTGGAATGTGTGGGTCCCCCGCACCTTCTGATTTGGCTCAAGAGGTGCTGTGACCACCCTCCTCTCCTACACAAAGCTTTAGTCTTAGTATTTTTTTTTTTTTTTAACTTTTTCTGTTTTAATTGTTACTTTTTGTTTATTTATGGGGCGGGGTTCCATCTCCAGGATGTGAACCGCGAGTTTCGTCGGGAGGGGACTGTTTACCAGGCCGGTGCAGTGTTGGCAAGACGTCTCATACGCCTATAGGGAGGAAAAGAGAAGAGGGGCAAGGTAAATGATACGGAGGTTGTAGCTGTACTCTTAACACTAAGTCAGAGGATCATCTTATGGGGGATTTCACGTCATACTCTCCACTGGACAGAAACATCCTGATCTCAATATACTTCTAATTTACTTCAAGCCACACTAATTTAGCAAGTCAGACAGCAACAGCATATAAACATTTCCTATATCATGATAAAAGTTACATCTTAAATCTAGAGGTCACTCGCTCATTGGCACCAAATCCTATACTGCCAACAGTGATGCCTAATAGGCCACAAGTGTGCTTGAAAGCTACAAGAATAGCTAACCGAGCATGTACAATTGTACATACTGTATATCCGGCCTAAACTCTGAAAAAATATATTCAGTCCTACACTTTAGGTGAATTAGGCAATTATTCAAAATTTGAGAGCCAGTTTAAAGAAGCCAGAAAATGTACTTCTGCTGGCTATCTCAAAAGGCTCAAAAACGTTAGGTGCCAACTATAACTATTTAGGCACATTGGCTACCTGGATCCTGGGATTTCTCCACCCAGATCCATAGGCAATTAAGATCAACTGCTAAGAATAGTAAACAGACTGGGAGTACTGATAAGACAGATTTCAGCAAACTCAGTAATAGTTATGTATCTAGTGGGGCGATTTTATTAAATGCTACTAGAATTAAAAAAGACAAAAAGATTGGTTGTGCAAATAATGGGCTGCTTTGTAATAAAGCAAATTCATTGGTAAAACAAAACAACATGTATGCTGATCATAAGGTACAATATCAAAGATTTAAATGCTTGCAAACGCAGACCATTTCAAAATGGTTGCCTTCAAATTTAGAAGGAAATAAAACCACCTTTCCTAGTTAAAGGTGTCGAGATAAAAACACAGGAACAAACAAACTAAATGTTTTTCCTGCCTTTAAAAAAGCAGCTCTCTCTGCAAGACTTTCTGCGGTTCTCTATGTATGCATCCTGCCGGGGCTAGTTAGTGTTTCAAGGAGTGACACCATGAAAATCCTGGAATGCATACCAAAGTATAAGAAAATGGTGGTCACAGCAGTCATTTGGTGAAACTGCCATGGGGGGGT